GGTACATCTTGGCGGTTTTCCCGTCCAGCTCGGGGATGGCGATCTCGGGGGCGGTGCCCGGGTACGTCACCGGGATCTGGGGGGGCCGGGGGCGTCAGGACCCCCTCGGGACCCCCCAAAAATCCCCGAACCCCCCCCAAGCTCCCCCGAGCCCCCCCAGCTCACCTCAAACTCGATGTTGAACTCGTAGCGCAGCAGCTCGTGGATGTACCAGCAGCGCCCATGCCAGCTGGGGACCCCAAAATCCATCAGGGACCCCAAAATCCATCAGGGACCCCCAAAATCCATCAGGGACCCCAAAATCCATCAGGGACCCCCCAAAAACCAATCAGGGACCCCCAAAAATACCTCAGGGACCTCCCAAAACCCCCAAATCTCTCAGGGATCCCCCCAAAAACTGCTCAGGGACCCCAAAATCTCTCAGGGACCCCCCAAAAACCGATGAGGGACATCCAAAACCCATCAGGGACTCCCCAAAATCCATCAGGGACCCCCCCAAGCTGCTCAGGGACCCCCGAAACACCTCAGGGACCCCCCAAAATCCATCAGGGACCGCCCGGGGGTCCCGTTGTGCCCATCCCGGGGGTCCCGGTGTGCCCGTCCCGGGGGTCCCGGAGCCCCCGTCCCCCCTCACCGGGTGCCCTCGGGGTTGGACTCCAGGCGGAACCAGTCGGTGTCGGCGCGTTTGTTGTTCTCCACGTACTACGGGGACACCGGCGGGTCACCGGGACCGGAGGGGGATCACCGTTACCGGAGGAGGGTCGGTCACCGGTACCGGGAAGAGGTCACCGGGACCGGGTCACCGGGACCGGGGGAGGGTCGGTCACCGGGACCGGGAGCGGGTCACCGGGACCGGGGGGGGTCACCGGTACCGGAGGGGGGTCACCGGTACCGGAGGAGGGTTCAGCGGTACCGGAGAGGGTGGGTCTCCGGTACCAGGGGACACGCCGCACCTGGATGAGCGCCCGGTACTCCTCCCGCAGCCGCTCGGCCCAGCCCTCACGGTCCCGCGGCCCCGCCGGTGCCCGCAGCAGCGGCAGCTCCGCCACCGCCCGCCGCGCCGCCGCCTCCGCCATGGCCCGGCCCCGCCATGCCGCCCCGCCGGAAGTGACGTGGCGCCGCCGCCGCCGCCCGGGGCCGCCATCTTTCCTACGGGCGTGGCGATAGAGGTGACGGTGCTGCCGCCATCTTGGGTGAGGGCACGGCCGGCTCGCCGTCGCCATCTTGGATGAGGGCACGGCCGGCGGGTGAGGCCGCCGCGCTGCCGCCATCTTGGGTGAGGGCAGCGAGGTGATGAGGGAGGTGGGCGGGGTTTGGGTGGGGAGGCTCCGCCCCCCCCAGGGACCGTCCCCTATCCAGAGACCCCCCCCCCCCAAAACACCGATAGGGACCCCCCACACCCCAGAGACCCCCACCAAAACACCGACAGGGACCCCCCACACCCCAGAGACCCCCCCACCCATTCCAGAGGGACCCCCCAGAACACCGAGGATCCCCACATACAGGCACAGGGACTCCCCCAGCCCCAATTTAAGGACGCGCGGGGGGGGTTTCAGGGCTTTATTTGGGATCCATGGAGGGGGTCTCGGGGGGTCTCCTCGGGGGTCTCGGGGTCTCTCAGGGGGTCTCCTCGGGGGTCTCAGGGGGTCTCCTCGGGGCTGTCTCCTCGGGGGTCTCCTCGGGGGTCTCCTCGGAGGTCTCAGGGTCTCAGGGGGTCTCCTCGGGGGTGCCGGGGGTCCCCCGGCGCAGCAGGGACGAGAGCAGCCCCATGGCGCCGCTCTGCAGCTCCCGCGCCAGCGGCTCCAGCTGCGCCTGAGCCCGGCCCAGGAACAGCCTGGGGGGGACAGAGCCTGG